TCTCCTTCACGCGTTTGAACAACGCAGTCACCTACGGGACAATAGCGATTATTATTAAATCAAAACGAGGATTTACACGTCAAAAATTAATCCTTAACCGTTTCAACGCTTCGAGAAATATGAGGTGCATATGCAAGACTGTAACGTCGCTCAAGCGGCGAATAAGCAGAGTTCGTTCGCGTTTCGAATTTGTTTTAAACTTGTAACTAACTCAGGAATAAGCTTCTGATTTTTTTTTGCATAAATGGTCACCTGAGGTAATTTTTACACCCTAATTAAAAGTCGTTGTTATTAATTACATATTGCATATTTTTAATTGTCTATAATTTATTACTATTTGAGGACGATAGATGTACTCAACATTTTCTAAAAAACGTAAAAAATATATATATATTTAAAAAACGAAAGAAGCACACATTAAAATTATTGTGACGTGAGCTTCATTTTTTCGATACTGTGTAAAAATCATCTCAAGCGCACCGTTCATCCCGGATTAAAGAGTAATTAAAAAATCGACGGAAGAGAAGTATTACCCTGTCGACCAGAATTTCTAAGTACTTTGGAGTGTACTGTCGCACGTAGAGCGCACTGACCGCCTCGCCGAATACGCTTCTGGTCAGTTGGTAGCAGGGGGCTTCCCATTCCTTGACGGCGGTGACGTTCGCAATGTCGTGCCACGTGTCCATCGCGTAGAGCAACAGCAATCCGTTATGAATAATCCTTCGTGATTTATCATAATTACGATTAAGTATTAATCGATATACAAGGTACAGTGTACGTACGTTATAATTATGACTGGCTAATCAATACGAGATATACGTCTCGAGCAAACTACATGATTATTTATCATTAATATAGATAAGATATTAATATAAATTGATAAATGTTAGTATTATATTAAATATTAATTAGTATACGTATTATGTATAATGTATGTATTTATTCACAATATCATATAATCTATTGCATTGTTGAATATCGATTCTCTCGGTTTCCCAACTAGCCTATCGTGGAATCAATCCCTCCCGGATTTATTATGTTCCATTATCGACATTTAACCCCTGGGTTTCCAGGGAGAAAGAGAAAGAGAGAGAGAGAGAGAGAGAGAGAGAGAGAGAGAGAGAGAGAGAGAGAGAGAAAGAGAGAGAGAGAGAGAGAGAGAGAGAGAGAGAGAGAGAGAGAGAGAGAGCTCAGATTCGGCAAAGGACTCGGGTTCGTATCACGAAGGAATAATATACATGCACAAATTGTTATTACGCGTGCGAAATTACAACGATATGGAAAATCCGTACCGTTTGGAGGAGCGATTCAATAGCTTGCCAAGGCTGCGAAAGTAACGTGGAGCCGTAATGTAGACGTAAATCTGCTGGTCCTCGGATGCGACGTACGTCGGCGGTCGTACGCGATTCGTGTCGTTATTATCGCTGTGCAGATCGGCGCCGTTCTCACGGTAGCGTAACGTAGTATTCAGCAGCGATCTCCATTTTATCTGTCCCAGGATCGTCAGATCAAACAATCCTCTTTTATTTTTTGAGAGAAGAAAGATCGATCGAGAGATCAATCAAAAAAAAGAGAGGGGGGGCTGATCGATGATTAAAAGACCGGAAAAAGATATAAGAGCACCCTCGATCTACTGCGAGCCGAAGGGTAAGGGTATCCAAATCCAACTACAAGTCAAACGAGCCAATACATTCTTATTGCTAGTTATAGATTTAAACTACGAGTTTAATCTGAGCACCGTTTACAATCGACTTCTATTATATAGTTATCGTTTACGATGAGAATTGTTCTCATATATCTTCTTTGCTAACGATCGAACGTAGCGGAATTTCGTGTGGCTAAAGAGCCCGTGATATATCAAGCTGGTACTTACGTAACCAAAGCTTTCTTGGAGATAAGTAACGTTGTAAGTGACGTATACCCTCTGTTCAACGTCCACCCAATTGTACAAGTCTTTGTGCTTCGGATAAATCTAAAGATAACAAGATACGCGCGCTTTATTCGCTATTTAATTCATGTAAAACGATGGCGATAGAGTCTCTCACCTTCTCGAGCGATAAGCAAAACTGCAAAAGTAGATCCGTTTCCGACGATTGTTCCTTAGGATCCATATTTTTTGGCAAGAACCCTCGGACAATCTCTCGAATTTTACGCGATCTTTGTACGTCTCTGTTTTTCTGGAAAAAACATACCGCGGCGTATTTACGTGAAATACAGGCAGGATATTATATTTTAAAAAAAGAAGCGTCCTAAAAGCGCCGAAGAATTTAGAGATGTATATAAGCTTGTCGTTCTTTTTCTTTTTATTACCGTGCAAAATTTCGAGCCAGGATCGTCGAATGGTCCTTACCTGGTCCTCTGCGAGAAACTCATAATTCTGGTGCTTGGCAGGAAAATCAAGATATACGGATGATTTTGTGCGATCGTAAAGATCTACGTCGACGTATAAGTCGAAGAGGGGCGCGCCATTTACTTTCAGCAATGCGGAGATTAGAGAGGTGATGTCGGTCGATTCCGAGCTTTTCGGCAAAAGATAACCACCAAGTTCATTCAATAGTTCGTAAACTGAAAGAGGGAACACATTAAAGCCTCTTGCACAATGCCAGACAACAGGCAATAGGAACAGGAAATAACCAAAAAATCGTTAATTACAACCTAAAAAGTTTGAATGCTATGATTGGTTGGCAACAGAAAATAGGCACAAAATTTCCAACGTGACGGAAACTCTGTGTCTATTTGCCTGTGTCACTGTTTATGTTGCATTTATACATGATTTCTGATTTCTATTCCCTGTTCCTATTGCCTGTTGCCTGGCATTGTGCAAGGGGCTTAACACTGCCTTATCGTCGTACGGGGCGTACTTCGTGTATATACATATAATAATATTAATAGAGGACGCATATTTTGCGTAATTAAAAAGATTTTATTTGATTTATCAAAATTAAAATAATTAAACAATTATCGAGAAATTTAATAGATCTGCCCTCATCCGATTTTTATTGATGGTCTAGCAAATATTAATAATAAAAGAATCTACGAGCTAATGACTGATTATTTGCATAAAATTATATTTCACAATTCACTCGATTGATTGAATTTTATTCGATTGATCGAAATTCTGCAAATGATAGAATAACAATTGTTAAGAGATTGTTCAGGTCTGTTTGGTTGTCGGATATCCGACTTTCATTGATGTCTAGAAAATTTTAATTAATACGATATGTTTTTAATAATAAAAGATAACTACGATATCAGCTGTTTGTGAGCCGAAGTATCATGAGTAACTTTCTTTTTACCGGGTGTAAAATTTACGGGTTTCTTCTTGAAGTCTCGACAAGTATCGTAAAACTGCCCAAGCTTCTCGAAGGCAGCGACCATTTGCCCCGTCTCGTTTGTCAGCGTTTCTAAAACAATAATACTCGCGATTAAGATGATTTCCTGGAAGGAAACGTCGTTACTGTTCGCGAAGAAAGCTGAACTAAGGGGCAAGGCACACTACTGGCTGAAGATCTCTCTCAGATGATCTGATTAGACAAGCCGGGGGTAATTCGTCGACCTTGAATCACGCGAATAAGCGTTTCGAAGGTTGCGTAAAAGTGTGAGAGGGTTTTAGAGAGGCGTCCCGCCGTTCCCGCGTTAAAGCAAACCGGCGTAACACACGTATGTTGTACGTGTAACACGTACGTGTATCGATTAATGTGCATTATTTATAGTAACGGCAAGTCGGCCGTTCGATTTCACCTCGCATCAGAGTCCGATAACTTTTCATCGAACGGCACAATCCTTTCCGCTCGTTTCTTCCGTTTTTTTCCGGAGGTTACGAGCGTGCGAAGGTGTGAAGGAGACTTCCGGGGGAGACAGCTGCTCGGACCTCGTTCCGTGCGTCACGAGCTCGTCGTCCCTCGCGCGGTTCATCCCTTAACGAGACAGCGCCCAAGTTTTCGATCCCGTCAACCCAATATCGTTTCTTCGTATCGTAGCCGATGCTTATCCATCTCCCCTTTAAGTTTCGATCCCCGAACCGAGTTATATTATCCTGACGACAGGGCGATCCATACGCGAGCGTAGTTGGTGCCAGTCGCTCGGCGCCAGTCGCGCCGGCGACACCACTACCACCACCACTACCACTATTATCGTGTCCACGATAGATTCTTACACGAAATTGAGGTCGTGTTCTCTGTCCAGACTCTCCCGTTTGAATCTCTGCCATTGGAGATTAATATGTCGCCAATTACACCCGTCTCCCTCACCCCGTAAATCCGCTTTCTTTCCTTTTTTTTTCTTTTCCTCATCGGCACGAAGATCGCACAATAGTTGCGACGAAAAGAGGACAAAGAAAATCGATAGAATTGCCGAGATATCGTCGTTATCGTCACACAATGCTTCGATATTCAATACGCTCTTTAGGATCGTCGAACGTAATGTAATAAAAAAGAATTGTAAAGGAATTTCTACAAAACTGTGTAAAAAAAGTCTACAAAGTGCGAAGACGTTTAATCGTCTCATATAGACTACTCCAATTTAATCGCATTATATGTAATAAAACACTGATCTATTTTAGCCCAATTTTTCCTTGCTGAAAAGGTAACTCTTCTAATATTATTTCTGCAAAACAGATATTTTTGCAAACAAAAATATAGGGATATACTTTCGAATGACCCCTGCTCCCGATCGACCTAAAGTTTTACACATAAGTTGTTTTCGATGTGATGAATAAAGTACGCATGATCCCAACTTTGGGAAATTAAAAAAAATTTTTATGACAGCACTTATCCTAACCCAATTGTATGGATGAAAAAGTGTATGCGTGGATGCAGTGGGGTCCACCTCTCTGTGGGAGGCTACATCTCCAAAAAAACTAACCTAACTCAACTCAATTGTTGTGTGGGTGGGAAAGTGTATGCGTGAATACAGTCGATTTACACTTTCTCATCCACAACAAAATTATAATAAAAGATTTATTACTTATATCAAAAAGTTGGTTACAATTACTGGTAAAATTGATAAATATGCTATAATTTATCGTAGATTTACCATCGTATATTGAAAATTATGCACAATAACCGATAATTATACATATATAATTACCGATTTTATCACTTTTACGGTAACATATATATCACATAGAATTGACTTTAGTCGATAAGTGTGCTATCATAAAAAAAATTTTATTGATTTCCCGAAGTTGGGACCACGCGCACTTTATTCCTCACATCTAAAACAATTACTTAAGTATGTGTAAAACTTTAGCTCGATCGGGACCAGGGGTCATTCGGAAATACACCCAAAAATAGTTTTAATTACAATTAGGTCAAACAAGTATTTATTTTTTCTAAAAAAAAAGAAAAAACAACCTGTGTTTTGTACATCACGTACCTAACTCTCTTTTTACATGGTAGATACGTTCCGCGTAAGAAGAAATCGCGTTATTTGGAAGAAAGCATATTATTTTGAAAAATCGCGTAAAAAAATGTGGCTATTTAAAAAAGTTTTCTTTTTACATGATTTTTTTCACTCGGTATGCATACTACCATCTAAAAAGTGCTTGTATTTAGGCCAACTATATGTGATAAAAAAAACTTTGTAACATGTATTGAGAGGAAAAATATGCGCATGCTGTTTTATATTGAGAACTATTTACATGACTGAGTTTGAAAAGAATAAGGGCGAACGAACAACGTATGAATGATAATCGAATCATGATTGACAATGACAACCGAACTGCTGAAATATGATTGAAAAATATAATCTGTCTAGGGTATCACTCTCGCTTTTTTAACATAATACAATATATGGAGGGACATGTGTTCAATTGAAAAATTTTCATTAAAGGGGAATATACACCTAGAAACGAAAAAAAAGGTAATTTTCGAGAATTTTTTTCAGGGGAACTATTGGAATTGTCGGGTCGGGGTTTTTTGTAGTTAAAAATACACACTTTTAAGAATGTTTTACATTTTTTTTATTAAAAAATGTTGCAAATTCACGGAGTACTGGAGTCGTCCGCGAAGCGCCGCTGGGTACCGTCTTTTTTTACGGCACTCCGTAGACGACTCCAGTACTCCGTAAATTTGCAACATTTTTTAATAAAAAAAATGTAAAACATTCTTGAAAGTGTGTATTTTTAACTACAAAAAAACCCGACCCGACAATTCCAATAATTCCCCTGAAAAAAATTCTCGAAAATTACCTTTTCTTTCGTTTCTAAGTGTATATTCCCCCTTAATTTATTATCTATTAGTAGGAATTTAAATTAAGGTCTGCACATATACACGAGCAAGATTAAAATAATTTTTCGAAGAACAGCGTTATTTAGAAAAATCATGTAAAAAGACGAGTTAAATTGCAATTATTTAAAGGGCTCCTACCTATAATACTCGCCGCTTCTATATCCTTATTTGATGAAGCGAGAAATCACATGCCAAAAATTCTTGCGATTACGTTGAAATAAAAAGATATGTCCATAAAACGCAATTGTAATTGATTCAGCACATTTGTAAAATATACCGAACAGTTTCCTTTGGCTTTTAATCAATATATAAGTAAATAGATGTAAAATAAAAAATGAAAGAAAATCGAGGATTGGTACAAAAGTAATGCTTCTTTTTTTTTCTTTCGAATCTTTCAGGTCATAGAAAATTTTGCGTTTCACTTTGAGATGTTACTTGAAGTTTCTATAGAGACTTCAAGTAACATTAACTCAGTAAAACGTAAAATTTTCTCTAGAGACTTCAAGTAACAACTCACAGTGAAACGCAAAATTTTCTATGGTATCAGATTCGAAAGAAAAAAATTGGGAGGCATTACTTTTGTACCGACCTTCGTATTATAAATTAAAAAAGTAGATTGCATGCCACGTTAATTTTATGGTTATTTAGTGATTATTAAAGCCAAAGGAAAGTGTTCGGTATATCTTACAAATGTGCTGAATCAATTACAATTGCGCGTTTTACAAACATATCTTTTTATTTCAACGTAAAACCGCAAGAATTTTTGGCACGCGATTTCTCGTTTCTGACGTCATCAAACAAGGATAGAAGCGGCGAGTAAACAAGAGCCTTAATTGCAAGACATTACGCGATTACGGCATTGTGAATCCATTAAAAGTTGAGTGAACAAATAGTATATTTCTTTCTTTTTATTTTTATTACTTTAATTTAATAAAAAAATAAATTTAATAAGACTATACATAAATTTACTGAGAAGATAATGCGAGAAAAAAAAATGGAACTCTTTTACCGCGCGGAACGCGATCTTCGCTTCTGCTTCGGCGAAGCGATTGGAGTTTTTGAAATTAACGATTAAGACTTGCGAAATTGTTGCGTTTGAAATGTTTGAAATTAGAAAGAGAGGTGGAAATCCGCAAGGAAGTAATAGCGTTTTTCTTTGGCAGAACTGGTGCGCACTCAGTGCACATTAAAGCCGTTGTACACAAATCAACGTAATGTGTATGTTTAATATAAACGGGTTAAATCATGAAATCCTCAATATTCTTTATTGCACTATTTGGTAAAATATGTACTGGGTATTTTATCAGTCGAAATATTTGCATTTTACTTTAAATATTAGAGATTAAATCAGTGTACAACGGCCTTAATGTGCACTGAGTGCGCACCAGTTCTGCCAATGAAAAACGCTATAAGTCGAGGGCTGCATTCGAAGAGCGCGCTATTAGCGCTATTGCATCATTC